CCGAGAGAGAATTCCATGGAATGATCAGAAAGAGAAATCCATGGAATGATCAGAAAGAGAAATCCATGGAATCATCAGAGAGAGGAATCCATGGAATCATCTGAGAGGAATCCATGGAATCATCCGAGAGAGAAATCCATGGAATCATCAGCGATCCTCACGTGCAAGTTCGGGATGTCAGGAAAGATGTTCTGTTATAGTCCTCTTTAGATCCATTGACTGTGTATTTGTAGGACATAAACCCCATGAAATACATATTTTTTAAGGTTTATATAAAATAGATAAAGGTTTTTAGGTAGTTTTTAACCTGCTGGAGCCCCAATCTCAAGTGGCCCCATGAAGGATGTGACCACTGGAGGAATCACCAGCATCTCCAAAATCTGCTTGTTCCGAACACCAGCAGGGAAAGAATGTGATCAAAGCCTCAGAAACCACCACTGTGATCAAACCCTCAGAAACCACCACTGGGAGATTCTGGCAGATAGATCCTGATAAATATTCATTCTCCTGGCACTGCACTGGGAAGCACTCGGATTGGCTTCCCGAGGGATGAAAATCCCGGAGCGGCCGGAGGTTGGGACGTGTCCATGGGGATCGTGGGTCCTGCCTTCATCCTGTCACCTTCTCGAGATCCCAGTGGGAACTCCCGGTGTCGTGGAGGGTGGGAGGCTCCATCCTGTGGATTTGGGGGCTTGGGAGCGGTCGGGAAGCTCCCGAACCCCGATCCCTCTTTCCCACAGACCTTCTTCTTCAACGTCTTCGAGTCGCCGTCGGAGCTGTTTGACACCCCCGTCTTCATCACTGTGAGTGCTGGGGATCCTCAGGATGCTCTTTCCCATGTGGACACGCCGTGGGATCCTCCATCCCGGGCGGGCCGGGGCTGGATTGACCCTTTTCCCATGTTCTCCCCCTCCCCAGGTGGTGGATTCCCGCTCTTTCCGCCCGGATTCGGTGATCGGGGAATTCCGGGTACGGTTCCCTCTCCCCTTCCTCCTCCCCCTTCCCCCCCACACCAACCCACTGGATGAACTCTGGAATTCCCTTTTCCTTTCATCCCACAGATGGACGTGGAGACCGTTTACTCCGAGCCAAGTGAGCTTTGGGAAACCCCTTTTTTTTTTGTGGGGGCCAAACATTGGGAAACACGGACACAAAATCCCGGCTCTTCCATGGATGGACCCAGGGAATCCCAGACTGGTTTGGGTTGGAAGGAACCTCAAATCCCACCCAGTCCCACCCCATGCCGTGGGCAGGGACACCTTCTGCTATCCCAGGTCGCTCCAACCTGACCTTGGACACTTCCAGGGATCCAGGGGCAGCCACAGCTTCTCTGCCCAACCTATTCCTTCCCTGTTCCCACATCCCTTCCAGCTGACATATTCCCTGGTTCTACATCAAAGGAATGTGGTATTTACCATAAAACCCCTTCCCAGAGCATCCTTGGATCCCCTCCCTGCCCGGCTGAGGGTTCTCCATCTCTTTTCCTCCTCCCCAGAACACGCTTTCCTCAGGAAGTGGCTCCTGCTCTCCGATCCCGAGGATCTTTCCGCAGGGGCCAAGGGCTACCTGAAGGTCAGCGTCCTCGTGCTGGGGCCTGGAGACGAAGCTCCTGTGAGTATCCCCCTGGATCCCATGGGATCTTCCACCTCCTTGGGCTGCCAAACCCCACATCCCTTCCCAAGGAAGCTGCACCTTGGATCTCCCTCCGTTTCGGGGGCAAAGAGCTGCTTTTTGTCATGGAATCACAGCCATGGAATCGCAACCTGGTTGGGGCTGGGAGGGACCTTAAATCCCATCCCACCTTCCACCAGCTCAGGTTGCTCCGAGCCCTGTCCAGCCTGGCCTTGGACGCTCCCAGGGATGGGGAATCCACACCTCCCTGGGCAACCTCTCCCTCTTTT